CGATCGTGTGTTTAAAAACGTGTACATTTCGGTTTGTAAGTTTTATCGGAATGTTATTTGTTAAGGAACCATTTCCCTTGGTTGTTTTTTTATATATACATATATTTTAATCCAAATAAAATGAGTGGAGCGCAAATTACATAACTGAATGCAGAACGAACTAATTATCGCTCGTAAACAAGCAGTATAATAAGTCGTACAATATTATGTTCTCGTCAAATAGCGCGACGTATGATATTTTGATAAACTGTACTTGGATGTTTAACGTTTTTTTCCTCTGATTTTCATACTTTTTTACTGCTAATTGTGGTCAAGATATTTTTAAGATTTATTTCATAAATCAAAAATAAATTCTTTTACAAAAAAAAAAAAAAAAAAAAAAATTACAGAATTCTTTAGTGGGCGAATAATTGTACATGCACACGACATGATTTTCGGGTTATTGTTTATCAGTGTTTATCTCTGTATCTTACTTTTAATTATTTTTTTTCAATTTCTGCTATTAAAAAAAGTTGAAAAATAAATTATTGACAAGCCCATTTTTAAAGATTCACATACATTGAATCAGTGGAAACATATGCCATTGGATATAACTCGTAATTTAATTCATTCCATCCTGCAATTTTGTTTTCGATCGTATCCCCCTTTCTGCATTTTATGAATTCCAATTCCATCAAATTTAACGCTCCATGTACATCTGATAGACCAAAAAATCCGTTTCTTAGGTCGGAGAATTACCTTTAAAGATAATAATTTATAATCTAAAATAATAAATAAGTCTTACATGTATTTAGTTCATTTTTTTTCAAAGTCTATGAAGAAGGATATGGAAAAAACGAACAGTATCAATTATTCTTTGAAATCTATGATAAGTATTTAGCCGTTTTTCGTTTTGAAAATACCGATTTCTAAATATTTTGAACTATTTTGAGTGAGGAATCGTGCGTTTGCGTTAGCAATCGTTTAAGATCGTGTAACGTGTAGAATCGTGTGCGTGAAGGATCGTTCGTGTAACAGGTTTTATCGTGCGTGAATCGTGCGGAAGCGTTCGTGTAACGTGATCGTTCGTGTAAATTGTCAACAATAACGTTGCAGCCACTGTACCCCCCCCCCTTTCAGCCGCGCAAATACCAAATAAATTCTCTTTCCACTTGTGATATTGTCCCTGACCAAAATCTGATCAGCACGGACTAGGTGTATCGACGTGCTTGTCTGTACGGAGTAATGACAGTGTGTTTACTGTTGAGCTTTTAAGGAGTTTATTTCTTTTTTGTGATGCATATTTCAATAAATGGAATTCAGGGTGTATATCACTTGACTTGTGCACACCTTCGAACCGATGCAGTAACCTCATTACCAGGTATGGGTACATGTACGTTTACAGCGTTCGAGGCGTTTTCTCGATATGCACCAATTGCATAGGGGCTGCAAATCAAAGACGTTGGTTGTTTTGTACCATTCAAATGATAATAATTTTAAAATGTGTTTGCAGATTTTACTGCTTTTTATTTCAAGTTTATTCTGCATAAATTGGCGCACTGTAAAAATACGTACTCGTGCATCTAAATTTCTCACCAAACTTGCATTTTTTTCTTTTGATTCAAATCAATAATTATTCAGAAATATGATTATTACTTTGTTTATTGTGTTTTTGAAATGTCTTGATCTCCTTATGTGTTCTCATATATGCTTTACCATCGGAGATGTGCACAAGTCGATACCCAAACCAAAAAATCATTCAACTGTAACGAGCGCATTGGGGTATACATCGTTACAATGAGACAAGGTATCTGAAAGAAATATGGCGGAATACGGCTATCGTTGGTATGAAACAAGTCGTACATAGATGAAAATGTTGCGTTTTTAAGAATTCATGTCAGCTTTAAGTCGTATAAAATAATTAAGGGCTAATATCCGCCTTTCAATGTTGAAACCATTGTTTAAATAGGTTGACTCAGAGATCTATTAAATAAAAACTTGTGTGATATTCCTCCTTAATAATAGAACCAAAAACATTCCAAACTGATGTCATAGATGCATGCAATCTAATTAAAGTAAGATGTTCCTAATCCGCTACTGCTTCTTCAACAAAGAGCAACATCTCATTCGGGGTCACCTCAGAGGTATTTTATGATTAGCCAAAGAAAATGTTTCCTACGAAAATTTGGATTATAATTCATATGGGTTTCTTCTTTTTAACACCCAACCTAAACACCCACTGAGTTTCGTAACAAAATATGCATTGCAAAAGCTGTGTTATGTATGACGTGCAGAATATTTTTATACAATTTGTGCTTCATCGTTTGCATTATTTACGTAAAGATGCCAGCTGCCAGACTAGCGGACTATACATTAAAGAATGAGTGCACTTAAGCTATGAGAGTTGGATCCCGATGTTTTGCGCAAAATAAAATTCCAAAATTCATTAAATTTATGTTTTATAGGTATTTAACAATGTCTTATGAGCAGGTTTTGGTATATTATATTACATGAAAGTATTAAATAATGCCGAACGACACTAGCTTTTGAGACGGGGGTCTAACAGTTTTGTCTCATTTCTATTGTTATTCATATGCATACCAGTTTTCAACGACTTTGTTTACATCGAGCCGCAACTTGGCCATTTTTCTTATTTGCACAGAATATGTATTTTAACTTAAACTTATACATATCCAAAGGACAATGTTGGCCAAGTTGCGGCTCATATCTAATTTTCAAAAAAATGTCCCCAAACTAGGGTCGAGATAGCTACTTAATTAAATGGTCACTGAGCAACAACGATTGATATTATAATCACCTTTCTCACGTGACCTTCTGCTGTTCGATACGCTAAAGCTTTCATTAAAAAATTCATTGTGTTTAAGTCTCTGTTGTGACATTATCTATCGTACTTCCAACTTCAAACTATGGGAGATTTTTGCGCAACTTTTAATAGGGTTTGAAGATAATATGTCTCTTATTTATCTTTACGCTTTTCATTAGGGGTGTTTTGAAAGAATTCTGGTATTGACAGTGTCATTAGTAAGTACAAGTATAGGCTTATGTCGCCTCTGTATTATGGTCTGCACCGCGAGACATTTACCCCATCCCTTAACATTAGAATCATTTAATAATTGTGCACCATGAAATCAACACGATCTCTCTCTCTCTCTCTTCTCCATTTCAATTCGCAATGCGAAAAAATCATATGTGCTAATGTTTACATTCCACAACCATGCGGTTTAAATGCGGATACCTTAGATTCGAAAGTGGTCCCATTCAAATTTCCGGAATTTAAGGCTTTTACATGTTCTTTTCAATTACATTTTCTGTAATTATAGAAATATGTTTAACATAAAATTCTAGAAATAAATATCAAAAGCATATGCTTGCACATTAATCATAGATTAATTTAGCGATATATTGTAATGTTAAGCTTAAAATGGGTAGCCGAAAAGGTTCCAAATGACGTACTTAAGTGCACTCATTCTTTATACAAAAATTATTTGAATTCCACGTAAGACAGTATCAAAAATGATGGTATGTGGCCCTGGAACTAATTTTAGAACTTAGAATTTTAGCCTACTTGGCCAAAATGCCCCGTGACCCCGATTGGGATGGTAGATATTTGAGAAGCGGTAGCAGATGTGAAACAAAATCAATAAATTATCTTGAGATGAGTGTTTTAAAATTTCAAATATGAGATGTCTTCACTTTGAAAGAAGGGGCGTACAAGTTTAAAAAAGAGAAACTCTATTAGTGGCATCTAAACGTGTTCAAGATGAAAGCGATTATGTTGATGTTGAAAATTCTGGAAATGGTTACAGCAAACATTCTTTTTTTTAATCATCAGATCACTCGATCACGTGACGCCTCGCAATCGCGTCCTTAATAGATCACTTTCAACAAAAATGGATTTCAGATGTTCAAAATTTATCAAAGACCCTAAATTGTAGAATAAACAAAGACGAAATCAAATATGAAAAAAAGATATTTTGAAATTCTATCACAAAAAGAAGCCATTAATTTATGCAAAATTCGTACTTGTAACCATTATTTGACAATTGAATTGATGGTGTTCATTTTGTGAGGGAATCCATCAGTGTACAGACAAGGAAAAAGACATAGTCTTAGATGTGGTCTACAGAAGATAAAGAATTGTTGAGGTAAACACTGTAGCTATAGCTGTAAATAAAAAAACTGTATTTTTATCGTATCATTTGTGTAAATAATAATGACAATAAGAAGTTGTATAACTCTTTAATTCATTTAGATTTTATAATTTATGCTAAATGATAAACACAATTCAATTTCAATTCAATTTATTCTCTCAAAACCATGTAAATGGAACATGAGGTACAAAAACATACAAAACATATAATTATTATACATATAATACAGTGGGTCAAGTAGAAAGTGATAATTAAGGAGAACAGACAATATTATTAATTTTAGAAATAAATGTACTTAATTGTTTCAAAGAATCAACATCATTTTAGCACATGATTTCACAAAACTTGATGATATTTGGGTTAGAACAAATTTTTTAGTTCAAATAAACTTTTCTTAGTTGGTTAAGAGCACTGCATTCTAAAATATAATGATACTCATCTCCTGTCTGGTTACTACTGCATAAGCTACAAACTCTTTCATTTCTTTGACATGTTTGAGTACTATTCCATCTACTTTTATTTATAAAGCAATGCCTACTGATTTTACACTAGATAATTTACATCTGCTTTTTTAAAAAGGTAGAAAATCCACGTATTTGCCAATTATCAGTGTCGTCTGTTTAAGTTCCAGTCAAACCAATTATATCATATGAAGAAATAAGATCATTAAATTCCGTATACTGAAGTCTTCTATTTACACCACAAACATTTAATGATAACAGTTTTATTTCATTATTTTCTGTCTGGCCTCCGGCGTTGTCCTAGTATATAGAAGAATCTAGACCATTATAACGGAATATTTTGTGTACCGGTGATCTAGTGTCTGTATCACTGTCACTGTTTGCACGGTTAGCACCTGTGGTATGTTCCGCGATGAGTCCACGGTGTGTTTGCGGGGTTGGCCGAATGCCCTCCTGCTGCCTGATCGAGCGAGCGTGTCACTTCCATGCGTGGAGCGGATTCCTGATCTTCGGGCACGTACAGTTCGCCATCAACATACAAAGTGTCTTTTACGAGTTTAACACGACTGTGTTCTTTTCTGGCCTGACGGATTACAGGGTGCAGTTTTTTACGCCGCTCTTCAACCTCCGGGGGGTACTGTTCGTTGACCCAAACGTGAGTTCCCTTTAATTTCCGAGGGGCTTGTGATCTAACGTACTCTCTGTCTTGGAAGAAGGAGAATTTCGCCATTATGTTTCGGGGTATTGTGTTGAACTCCTCAAATTTTCCCATTCTGTGCACTCTCTCGAATCGTATGAAATCGTAGATTTTCATCTTATCTTTCATGAAATTACGCAGCATCACCTCACAGTTTTCGTTTCTTTTCTTAGGAACACCACAAAAAACTAGGTTATCTCTCATTGATCTGATACGGAGATCAGTGATAGACTCCTGTAATTCAACATTTTTCTCTTTTAAAGTGTGAACACTTGAGTTGAGTTCCTCGTCCCTTTTCCTTGAATCATCTTGTAGCTGTTTTAATTCTTTCTCGGCAGTGTGTTTCACACTGTCAAACATATCACTAATAGATTTGGCACTCATCTCCGCCTCTGTCACCGTCTCTTTAATGGTTTTTATTTCACATTCAAATTTTTGAATTTTATTTTCAAGTGAAACAACTGCTTCTGCTAATCTATTAAACGTACTCATTTTATTCTCAATGTCACACATTCTCTTTTCCAAAGTAGAGCTGTTTGTTTCAATGTTTGTTAGTCTCGCATCTATTTTTAGAAAGATGGTATGTAAAGTACTAAGAGAAATTTCACTTAGCTGTTCATGGATTCCCTCCATTCCTCCATATATAACTGAATGACTTTGCGAAAGTAAGTTTGCAGTATCTGTTACTGATGTAGTTACTGATGTAGTATCTGTTATGATTTCAGACTTATAGCAGTGAACGCCTTATACGAAAATCACAAAAGGTAAAACACTATGTACCGAGTTCAGTATACGACACAGTAAGACGCCATGAGCAGTATTCATATAGTGTTGACAGATAACCCTATAGTCACTGAATAAATAAGCAAAAATAAACTTCAAGACTCGCCAAATCTTGCGGATTTACACTTCTATGAATATTTACACACTACACAACCATATCACATAACTTTTAGCCAACATCGAAATTTTTTTGTAGCATTTTTCACTCTTTTTTTTTTTGTGGAGCCAATCTTAACACACCTTTACTTGTCTTTGACCCTTGACCCAAACCCATGCTTTTACTGATAATTAAGAATATCATTTCTTTCATTTATTTGTATTAAAAAGTGCTGGGTCTATGATAATACAACCCATCATTGCAGATAATGAGTTTAATACTTATGCACGTGATGACATAGTCACTTACGAATAGAGCTTTGGCGTGGGTCATAAGAAGTGATTAAGAAGCAACAAAACATTTTTTTCGCGGTTTGAAACATGTGCTTATAGAAATTGTACTCAGAGTTTCAAACTAGAAGTGAAACTCACGGGTCTTTCGGAAATGACCTTTTAAAAAAAACGTAGGTCGCGTGTCACGGTAGGCCCTGGCACGATAAAGAACCCTCACTGCTCAATGGCCATAAGTGCCGACTATAGGTCTACATTTGAAGCCCTTCACCGGCACAGGTCTCCATATGAGTGAAAAATTCTCAAGAGGGACGTTAAACAATATACAATCAATTAATCAAACTGGTTTTCATTTATTGTATTTTGACACATAGCTTATAAAAAAAGAAACACTATGAGACAGCATAGAACTAGATACCATTTACTCAAAGGGTCGAACTTTCAAAAATGAACATGAAAATGTAAAGAAGTTGGAAAGGATTTTTAAAATAAAAATCATTAATGTCGCATATTCTCAAAGAAAATTGTTGAATATCCACTATCAAAATATGGAAGGAAAATCACAAATGTTCAGTTCCCTTAGACAAATGGTAAAATTTTAGGCTGGCAGGACTTAAGAGAAAAAAAATTGAACCAAACAAAGATTTTAAATAGAGGTGATATTTTTTACCCTGACCCTTGAACTAGAAACTCTATTCAGGGTCACTGCACATTTATTGACCAGTGGCATTATTTTGAGTGAAGTTTGAGCAACATTGACCAAGGAGAGAAAAGATATGCTCCGGACAATGATTTTTCATATAATTCTGCTATGACCAAGGGGGAGAAGATAAGCCCCTGACACAAACTTTTAAAATAATCTGCTATGACTTTAACATTTGCCCTTGAAGAATGGTTCAAGGACACTACACACCTTATACTCAAAGAAACTCTGTGGGTGAAGTATGATTAAGATTGGGCCAAGGGGAAGGAAAATATGCTCTGGACATGAATTTAAACAGAGGGACTATTTCTGACCTAGAATCTTGACCTAGAAACTTTGTTTAAGGTCACTGCACAACCTTTGCCTGTGACACTCTATGAGTGAAATAGGAGCCACACTGGACCAAGGGCAGAGAAGATAAGCTCCTAACAAATTTTTTTTTAAATAATGCTCTAACATTGCCTTAGTCCTGGAATATTAATTCAAGGTCACTGCACACCCTTTATCCAAAGACACTCTTGGGTGAAGTATGAGCAAGATTGGGTCAAGGACAGAGAAGACAAAAGATATCAGACGGACAGACGGACGGACAGACTGTCACTATAGGACGCTTGCCCAGCGGGGCCATAATGATAAAAAAGGCAACATTTAAGAAAAATGATTCCCTTGTTGTACATACACTTTAAATATATCAGAAGGATTAAAATAACAGCAGATTTTGTGACATAAAACTTGTTAAGTAAACTTGCCATTTGTCAGTAATCATTTTTTCAATTACCTCTATTCCCTTGAAAAAAGTATCTTCAGTGTGGCAGGATAAATTTTCAAACCTGATATTTATAGGTAAATAGACACACTATTTGAAAATACTATGAACATTCAATTAAATAAATGAAAACTGCGACTGAATATGAATATAAAAGAACGTTCATGACTAGTTATTTAAGTTTTATCTCGAATTGCCATTACCTACACCGTTGCGAGGAAAGATAAAATACCACCCTAAACACTGGGAAAGTACAGTGTCCGTGATTGAATCGTGAAAGCTCAAAAGTGCATTAAAATATGTTTGGGTTTTTTTTCAGAAAAGTTATTTTCAAAACTCATTTTTTTTTTCAGGTTACAAATGTAACACTGGAGGAGAGGGTGCATCAGGAACAATATAGACACTTGGCTTAGCTGGTTTATTTATCTCAGAAATATGGACAGGTTGAGTTGGATCTTTAGCAGAGTTGATAGGCGAACATGGAACATAATGAGAAAAACCCCCATCAGTGTCCGTAGGCAGGTCAAACTCCTCTGTTATAGATCTGCGGTCTTTTTTACGAATACTCTCATAATATGGATAACCCATTAAAGGGATACTCTGATCAGATCCATCTGCATCCGAAGTCTTAGGAGCCATACCTCTGGTTATCTTCTAGGACACAAACGAAAATAAAAACAAAATTATAATAAATGTGTATTCATGAAGAAAGCATGACACATTAGTGAATTCATTTTAGAATTATAAACTAAATGAAATGTCTCAGCAAAAACTGATTAATAATAAATATAACTAGAGCAAAGCTCGTTGCAAAGCAACGAGTAGGTCTTCCGTCCTGTTTGACCGGAAGTTACTTTCGTTAAAAAAAATTGTAATGACGTCAAAAAATGGTTTGAGTCATCTAAATCTGTGTTAATTAATGCAAAAATAAGCGATTTTTTGTTACTTCCGCTTTGACCGGAAGTGATGATGACTGACAGAAATTTAAGTTTTATGCTCCAGTGACAGATGTTAACCCAAAACGTGTCAAGAACGACAAAAATACGCATTTAATGACTACTTCCAGTTTGACGTTCTTTGACGACCTCAGTAGATTAGCTTGACGTTTTGAACAACTTTGCTTCTTTAGTAGTTTTCAGAAAAAAATGTGTAAGAGCTATTAACCCCTAATCATAGGGGCCAGCCCCTTTTCCTTGATCTTATATGAAAGCTTTTGAAATTACGCACAACTTTCTTACCAAATTATTCTCGGTTAAGAAGTAATTACACAAAAAGGAGCATAATTTTAAGGAAAAAGTAACTAAAATTTGCTTTCACATAGTTTCCAATATTTACGATATCAGCTTAAAATGTTATCGTTTTGCACATCTACAATGTATTGGCTGCAAGTTCTTCAACTTTCATGTTAATATCGTATGTCGTTCTTGAGAGTTTTAGTGGATACGAGACATCAAAATTATCAATTAATGGGCAATAACTCACAAAGAAAGACATATATCAAAAAACTGAAAACAGGTTTAAATAGGTGAAAAAAGGTGTCTAACCTGAAAGGTTCATAAAAATCAGTCGAAAGGTCTTTGAGAAATCGCCTGTCAAAAATCCGGCAGGAAAAATATAAGAAGAAGAAACAGTAGAATAACACTAGGGTCTTCCGAAGGAAGCGGAAGACCCTAAAAAGAAACGTAAGAGTAACAAGACGGTCTTCTGCTGAAGACGAAAGACCTTAATAAAAGTGAAAAAGAAACAAGAGTATAATAGAAGGGTCTTCCATTGGAAACGAAAGACCCTAACTAGCAGCACTATCCATGTAATTTGGGAGGCAAATTTTCCATCTGTACAAATATGTTTTGAAATTTACAGCTTATTGTTGTTCTGTTGCATTATTTTTGTCACATATGATAGAGGAAAGGCCGACCGGGATACGTATATGGCTGACTGCCTTCGAAAGAAAATATGATCGATGAAAATAAATTAGCATACCTGTTTTTTTAATTGAACTCCATATGAATGTCACAAAATATACACGACATTAGCTTTTACACTCCATATAACGAATCGTTGTACATGCCGTCTAAGCCAAATTCTATTTACAGGACATGATTAATTCCCAAGTTTCTCGATGTACACATATGACGTCATCGGTGGTAGATTTTAATCAAAATGATAGATACAGGAAAACAAAATAAAAACTTCTTTTTCTGTTTACACGTTTCTCTTCATTTTCAAGAGTTAAATTACATCTCTAAATAACAATATTAAGAAACCATGTGTTCTAAAATTGAAGTCATCTCACCTTCCATGACGTCATAATATAGCACTGATTAAGACAAGGTAGAATATTTTGTATGCTTCCTTATCACCCCTGCGTATTTGTGAAATACTTTAAAAATGCTACTCCTTGTACACTTTTGATTAGATTTCAATAAAACTTGAAACACAAACTACACGAAGATACATAATTCTTTGAATCGGTTTTTGATTTCAATGAACGCTTTTGCCATCGTTACTAAAAATAGAAAGTTCTGTGAAATATTTTCTAAATGCTTCTGATCTCTTTTTAAAGTTTTGCCTGATTTCAGTATAACTTGGCACACAAGTAGACTACAACTAAGAAACATATTTCTGTATTTTGGTTTTTGATTTCGATGCTTGGTGTTGCTGTGGTTACTAAAAATAGAAATTTCTGTGAACTACCGGTATCTACTCCTAGTTCTATAAAGTTTTATTAAAAATTACTCCTACAGTTGTAGTCTTACATGTATTGCAATTTTGCTATAAAAAGCAATCTAATCAAGAATCATTAGTCTATTTATTGCTTTTGTAACGTTTTATGTCCGAACTTCCTCTTCCTTTAGCTACAGTCTCCACAGAGACTTCTGGGGCCTATTTTACAAAAGATCTACGATTACATGTAAGACCGAAAACTTTAGTTGATTATTAAATTTTGCAAAATGAATGATTCTGTTTTAATTTGCTAGAGTAATGATATTTACT